AGGGTGAGTGGGCAGAGGCCCTCCCACGCGGACCGGCCAAGTCAGCGCCGTGGGTAGGGAGCTGGTCATGGGAAGCTGTGCCCAGGAGACCAGCTGAACGCACAGCAGCCGGATGCACAAAACCAGCCGCCCTGGGGCCTGAGCGGTGACAGGAAGCTCGCTCGGTGGCCGCACATCCCAGAGGTGGAAGCATTGGCCGTGGGCCTGGGCCCGTCAGTGTTCCAGGCGACGCCTGTCCCCTCTCCTGCCAAGGGGGCACCAATGTGAAAGGGGTTCCCATAAAATGCTGATTACAACTCAGTGAGATGCACCCCACCACAGAATGGGGCGTTGGAGGGTGACAGGCCTGGCCCCATGCCTGTGGGCGGGGGGCATCTGACTCCCAGGAAATGGAGGTGCTCAGACCTCAGGCCCGGCTCCCTCGCTGGCACAGGCACAGACATGCGGGATGTGCGCACAGGGACAGCCGCCCTGGCCCTGAGACCCTGACCGGGCTCCTCTGTCCCCTGCAGCAGCCTGGACGCAGGCTCCCTGGGAGCTGACCCTCTGACGGTGAGAAACGGTGTCCGCCCCACACGCAGCCGCGGGAGGACAGCCCCACGTGGTGCTGGGTGTGACGGAGGCTCCAGCCTCACTCCATCGCCTGCACCTGTGACACTCAGGCAGCCGCACGGGTCCACATGTGCGAGCTCAGTGCGGCCTGAGAGCTGAGGATGGTGCCTGGAGGGCGGGCAGGGCACTGCGTGTTCAGGGGCCCCAGGGTGTGGGGCCAGGGGTCTATTGTGACCCCGTTGCTGGGCACCTGGGTGCCCCCAGAATTATCTTTTTAAAAATGTTTTTATTGATTTCAGGGAGGAGAGAGAGCAACATCCATGATGAGAATCACCCAGCGCTGCCTCCTGCACGCCTCCTTCTGGGGACTGAACCCACAACCTGGGCATGTGCCCTGACCAGGAATCGAACCCTGACCTCCTGGTTCATCGGTCTACACTCGACCACTGAGCCGCTCTGGCTGGGCAAGAATTACCTTTTCAATGTTCTGTGTTGCTTTATGTGACCTGAATACACATGACCGCTCCCCAGGGAGACACAACCCCAGGCACCAGGGGCTGGGGAGGGGGGTCCCCACAGCAATGCCCCGTGCTCAGGGCCAGGTGTCCCCACAGTGACACACAGTGGCTGTGTGGCTGCCCCTGGAGCCATCCCTCCCCCTCAGTGATGCCCACACCTGGACACACGGCCACAACCACATGTGCTCTTCACACACTTTAATGAGGGGCAGTGCCCACCACCCACTCCCTGGGGTGGAGAGGGCAGACACCTGGGCAGGAAGCAATGGTCAGGGTCAGGAGGGCGCTGGGTGGCAGCCCGAGGGACAGGCTCAGGGCTCCTTGGGGACGTGCTGGTGGATCCAGTCCAGGTAGTAGGTGACGCGGGTGTAGATGCCGGGCCTGTGGGGCTGGGCACAGCCGTCACCCCAGCTGACCACACCCGCCTGCATCCAGGTGTCGTTGACCTTGCAGACCAGGGGCCCTCCAGAGTCGCCCTGGGGAGGAGAGGGGTCAGCCAGTGGCTGGAGAGACAGATGGGGTGGGGACTCGGGGGAGGACACAGCCCACCTGACAGGCGTCACTCTGCTCGTTCCCGGCACAGATCACGTTGTCCTTGACAATCCGGATGTTGTCCCCCGTGTACAGGCCTGTGTGGTATTCCGCATCACAACGGCTGTTTTCCACGATGGGGACCTCCACCTCCTTCAGGGGGAACGGCGGCGGGAGGTGTACTGTGCGGTGAGAGGAGAAGGACAAAGCAGGCTGGGCTGGGCGA